AAAAAACAACAAAAAACTCAACAAACCAGGAACAAGGAAACTACCTCAATACAATAAACACCATACATTGAAAACCCACATTTGAAATCATGCTCAATGGTGAAAGACCGAAAGCTTTGCCTCTAAAGTCAGGAATAAGACAAAGATGCCTGCTTTCACCACAACTATTCAACATAGTACTGGAAGTTCTAGCCGGAGCAATTAGATAAGAAAAATAAATAAAAGGCATTCCAAATAGACAGAAATAAGTAAAATTAAAATTACTTCTGTTAACAGACATGATCTGTTTGTTTTTTTTAATTCTCACCCAAGGACATTTTTTTTTTTTTTTTTTGCATTTATCTTCAGATAGAGCAGGAGGGAGAGAGTAGAGAAGAGATAAAAAGAAACATCAATGTGAGAGAGACACATCAATTGGTTGCCACCCACATGACCCCAACCGGGTCCGGGGACAAACTGCAACTGAGGTATGTGCCCTTAGCAGGAACCAAACCTGGGTCTCTCTGGTCCATGGGCCGACACTCTAACCGCTGAGCAACACTGGCCAGGGCCAGACATGATCTATGTAAAAATCCCTAAAAATTCCACAAAAAACTATTAAAACTAATACCCAAATTCACCAAAGTTGCAGGATAAGGAACACACTAAAATCAGTTGTGTTTCTATACACTAACAAAAATCTGAAAGGGAATTAAAAGAACAATTCCATTAATAATAGCATCAAAATAAATAAAATACTTAGAAGTAAACTTTTAAAATACATTTATTAGTGACATTGGTTAATGAAATTATATAGGTTTCAGGTGGACAATTCCACAATAAATTCTGTATATCGTATTATGTGTCAACCACCTCAAGTCAAGTCTCCTTCCATCACATTTATCCACCCTTTACCCTCTTCTACCTCTCCTCACCCTGTCTTCCCTCTGGCAATCACCATACTGTTACCTGTGTCCATGAGTTTCTTTTTTTTCTTGGTTTAATCTCTTCACCCTTCTCACCTAGCCCCACAAAAATAAACTTAACCAAGGAGGTGAAAGACCTTTGTATTGAAAACTACACAATACTGCTGCATGCAATTAAAGAAGACACAAATAATTAGAAAGAGATTCCATGTGCATGGATTAGAAGACTTAATAATTTAAGAGTCAATGCAATCCCTATCAAAATCCCAACACGTGTGTTTGTATATACATAAATATCCATCTTAAAATTAATATAGACTCTCAAGGGACCATGAATAGCCAAATCAATCTTGGAAAGGATCAAAGTTGGAGGTCTTCTGATTTCAAAACTTATTATAAGTCTACAGAAATAAAAACAATGTGACACTGGCGAAAAGACAGACATTTAGACCACTAGAAGAGAACAGAGAGCCCAGAAACAAACTCTCATGTAATGGCCATATGATTTTTGACAAGGGTGCCCTGACTATTCAACGGGAAAAGGAATTTTTTTCAACAAATGGTGTTGGAAAACTGGATATCCACATGCAACAGAATGAAGCAGGACCCTTACCTTACACAATACACAAAAACAAAATGAAAATGGATCAAAGACTGAAACCTAAAAGCTAAAAGGTTAAAAATCTTAGAAGACAGGGAAAAAGCTGAATTTGACAATGATTTTTTTCTTTTTTTGTTATGACACCAAAAGCACACGCAAGAAAAGAAATAGATAAGCTGGCCTACATCAAAACAACTTCTTGGCATCAAAGGATATACTAGAGTGAAAAATAAATTCACAAATTGGAGAAAATATTTGTAAATCATATCTGATAAGGGGGGAATATGCAAAATATATAATGAAATCCCACAATTCAACACCACCACCCCAAATGAAAAATAAGAAAAGTTATTAAGTAGATTATTTCTCCTAAAAAGGTACAGAAACAGGCAATAAGCTCAAAGAAAGACCATCGACTTCAGTAATCACTGGGGAAATGTAAATCAAAGCCACAATGATATACCACCTCATACCCATTAGGATAGCTACTTAAAGAGAAGAAAAAAAACCACAAGAATCCTGGCCGTTCGCTCAGTGGTTAGAGCATTAAGCCAGTGGACCAAAGCGTCGGGATTCGATTCCAGTCAAGGGCAAGTACCTCAGTTGCAGATCAGTCCCCTGCCCTGGTCATGCAGGAGGCAACAAGCTGATGTCTCTCTCTCACCCTTCCTTCTTCCCTCCTATTCTGAAGATAAATGAAAAAATATCCTCAGGTGAGGATTTAAAAAAAAGAAAGAAACAGAAAATAACAAGTGTGTATGAGGAAGTGAAGAAAGTGGAGCCCTTGTGCATTGTTGGCAGGAATATAAAATGGTGCAGCCCTTACGAAAAAGAGCATGACAGTTCCTCAGAATATTAAAAATAGAATTACCATATGGTCCATGAACTCAGCTCCTGGATATATACCTAAATTAATTGAAAGCAAGGTCTTGAAGAGATGTTTATAAGCCTATGTTAATAGCAGAATTATTTACAAGTCAAAAGGTGGAAGCAACCAATGTGTCCACTGAGAGTGAATGGATAAACAAAATGTGTTATTCAGATACAAGGGCAAAGATTCAGTCATAAAAAGTAAAGAAGTTCTGACACATGCAACAACATCAATGAACCTTAAGGATATTATGCTAAGTGAAATAAGCCAGTCACAAAAAGACAGTGTATGATTCCATTTACGAGTTACCTACACTAGTCAAACTGAGAGACAGAAAACACAATGGTTGTTGCCAGATAATGGGGGAAATAGAAAGGGTACAGAGTTTAAGTTTTACAAGATGAAAAGATTTCTGGAGATACAAGATAGTGATGGTTGTTTTAATGTGTGGATGTACAAATTAACACTGAACTGCACATTTGAAAATAATTAAGATAGTCCCACTGGTGTTGCTCAGTGGTTGAGCATCGACCCACACACCAAGAGGTCATCAGTTCGATTCCCAGTCAGGAAACATGCCCAGGTTGTGGGCCTGATCCCCAGTGGCGGGCATGCAGGAGGTGGCCAACTGATGTTCTCTCTCTCCATCTCTCTCTCCCTCTCCCTTCCTCTTTCTCTAAAATCAATAAAGGAAAAGAAAAAAAATAGTTAAGATAGTAGCCCTGCCTGGTGTGGCTCAGCTGGTTGGGCAACAACCCATGAACCAGGAGGTTGCTGGTTCGATTCCCCATCAAAGCATGGGCCTCGGTTTTAGGCTCAATACCTGGTAGGAAGTATGTAGGAGGCAGCTGATCAATGTTTCACTCTTACATCGATGTTTCTCTCTCTCTCTCTCTCTCTCTCTCTCCATTCCCCTCTAAAAAGATCAGTAAGAAAAATATGTTTTTTTAAATGGTTAAGATAGTAAATTTTGTGTTATGTTCATTTAATACCACAAAAAAAAAAAAAATCTAAGTATCAACAAAGCATCTATCACAAAATCTGATCAAGAACTGTGTTTCAACATTTTTCAACTTCACCAATTAGCTGAAAGACTAATGCATATTTTTACATATGCATTTGCTTATTTAAGCACCACCTGATAATGTCCACCTGTCTAAACAATGACAATTTGATATGGCACTGTAATCCGCTTACAACTCATAGCTATACAAAACGATCAAATACAGATTTTGAAATCATCACTTAGAAATCTGCATAAAATACAGTGCCTTTTATATATTTCAGTGAAGGCAAAAACCTAGCTCTTATCTTTTATTTCCAAGGAATGGGAGTACCAAGCAGAATCAGATCCAAGCGGAACACATTTTGCCTACCCCCACCCAACATATCATCAAGAAACACTACAAATGACTAGAAGAAACAGAAATAATTCCTCTACTACAGAGGAAAATACTGCTTCTGCATGTCAATTAAGAGTTCAGTGGGATATTGGTCCAGCTGCCAATCTCCCTAGAACTGGAGAACCACTTTACTTTCTCTTTCCCCAAACCTGAATTCATCTCCTGTGGAAAAGAGTTCACATGAAATCATTTTCTTCTTTGTTCTTTGGAACATGCCCAAGCACTATGGCTGAACCCTAGGCTTTCAGGCCCAGACAATTTTAACACTGAGAAATGTTCAATTTGTTATTTATCTACTGGAGTAAGGGCAAGTATGAGATCACATACAGCTAGTGCAATTGTTGAAATTACTTTCAATGGTATTCAAGTCAGGTCCCATTTATGCAGTGAGTCAGAAGGTATGCACTTTAATATACCATTCCAGATTTATTAAATTCCCAATGATTGCACCAATCAAAAAGATATCAAAAAAGAAATCCAAGCAAATAGTCTAACAGTATAGTATTACAAATAGAACTTTAAATCCTCTCAGGTTAGCTTAATTTTGAAATACAGATTGAAACAAATTAATACAGTACAGTATTTTTCTAATGCATGTCATTTTTCAACCATAAAAAGATATGTACTTCCCACTTTATATGTAGTATCAAGCACAGTAAGTAATATACTTCTACAGATTACTCAGAATAGTCAAATATTGCCACTTCATTAAACATTATTGTAAATAGAATTCTGGCATTTATTTCTTCTTAATGAATGCAGTTTTCCAAATAACCTCAGACAAGTTCATCTGGGGCATATGCTGCACCCTCAAAGAGCAAGAACTCTCAAATGTCAAAAAGAATAAATCATAGTGACTCAGTACTTCCCAGACAAATGAGCAGATTATGACCATTAGATATACTCAGGCTACCTATTTATATGCTTCAGAGACCAGCATATAAATAGGTACACAGGGTAATAATAATCACATTTTAACACAATGAAAGATTCAATTACAGTACACGGTGGTACAAACCCTGAGTACAAAGTAAGTGAATCAAGAAAATCAGGGTAAAACTATTCTTATTATAATTAAATTCAATTATAATTATAATTAAATATTAACATAAAATCCTGCAAATATACAGCACTAACATTTCCATTTGAAAAGAGCATTTGCTATAACCTCACAAAAAGGGAAAAAAAGTTCCTGTGTAAAATTTTAGTACATAAAATACCTCAATGATGGTCCTGATGCATCCAAAATGTGTATCTGTCCAGAACACAAGCTAAAATGTAATTGTGCAGAATTATTTTCTGTATAAATTAGAAGGTTACCTTTACCTAACCTTTATTTAAATACCAAAGCTTTCATCTTTATATTGAAAGAAGTGAAATAGTATTGGCCAACTATATATTCAAAATTATATATAAGGGAAAGCTCTTGTCAATGGGCTTCCATTATGATTTTTCTTTCTTATGATGCTAAATGTAGTAAGAAAACAAAAATCCCCTACAAACTATTCTTAGATCATCACTGAGCTGGTTAAGTAAATATTATGCTTGCTATGTAATATGACTCCCCTAGTACTTACTCTGCCGAGAATAAACAAACATCATGCACACTCAATCACATGAGACAGGTTTAAAAAAAGCTGAGTCACCCACCAATAGTCTTCCTGCTCTGAGCCACTCTGGAAATTTCTGCCTCACCACACTTGGTTTCTCCTCCAGTTCCCACTAATGAGTTTACAGTTCCCTGAAACCTTTCCCTCAATAACACCAACCAATTTTATAATAAAGCTCATTTTAGGCATCACATGGTTCTCCTCCCACTCCAAGCAACACACCAAGTGTTCCTGACAATAAAAAAACGATGACAAGCAAAAAGAGGAGGCTAACTGATTAGGCTGGAAAACTTCCCATTTCAATTGGCCACAAGTCTACTTTGGAGAAAATCACTTCTCTCCAGCTGATCTAGAGGGGAATGAAGTTATCACTGCATTGTCCATATAGCTTATGTGTTTTCTAGACATCACCAATACATTCCCTAGGGAATCCTAATAGCATCCCAGAATGAATGACATGGTCTGTTCTTGACTTATACACAAATAACAAGGCCTCAAAGCAAAACTGCTTTAGATTTTTTTTTTCCTTTGAGGATGTTAATTAGTAGCATCATCAATGGAAAACATGAGGCGAACAAAAACTTTTCACTAAAACTAGAATAAAATAAACCCACAAACCATATATTATTTAAAATGCAGCAATTAGCCACACCATGGCCGGTTTGACTCAGTGGTTGGTGCGCCGGCCTGCGGACCAGAGAGTCCCGGGGCCGGTTCCCTCTAGGGGCACATACATACATACATACATACATACATACATACAATACAGCAATTAGCCTAGCCGGTGTGGCTCAGTGGTTGATTGTCAACGCATGCATCAAGAGGTTGCCGGTTTGATTCCCAGTCAGGGCACATGCCCAGGTTGTGGGCCAAATCTTTAGTGGGGGGCATGCAGGAAGCAGCCAATCAATGTTCTCTCTCATCGATGTTTCTATTTCTGTCTCCCTCCCTTCCTGTCTCTCCAAAATCAATAAAGAAAAAACTACGTCAAATGCAGCAATTAAACAATACTAATTTTTCAGTATCAACTAGAAGTGCTGGAAATAAAGTTGAAAAAGACATGGTTCTTGTGCTCAGGGATTTACAATTTACCTAACTCAACTGTAACAGAATATACAAAATGCTACAAGGAGTGTAAATAACATTCCAAGAAGCAAAGCATAAAGGAATTAATTCTTCCTGAGAGAAGATATCCAGAGAGCCTCCAGAGGTAACAAACAGTTCAATAAGAGAGAGACAGGTGAGCTGGCAGTGGGACATAGGAGGTGAGGGGCACTATATACATGCAAAACAAAGAGTAACACTGAAAAAAAAGACCTGGAAAAGTGGGGCACGTCTGCTTAAACCCTGAATAAGTCAGTAATGCCATAGCACAGAGGTGGGTGTGGCAGAGTGAGGCCACAGAATTAGATTAGGGCCAGACTAGGAAGATGTGTCAAGATAAGAATGGGCCCTGGCTGGTTTGGCTCGGTGGTTAGAGCATCGGCCTGCAGTCCAGAGAGACCCGGGTTTGGTTCCCGATAAGGGCACTTACCTTGGTTGCAGTTTGTCCCTGGCCCTGGTTGGATCGTGCGGGTGGCGGCCACTTAATGTGTTCCTTTCATGTGGATGTTTCTCTCTCTCTCTCTCTCCCTCCCACTCTGTCTGAACAAAATACGGAAAAATGTCCTCAGGTGAGGATAAAAAAAAAAGATAAGGATGGACTGTACCTTGAAAGGACCCTCAGGAGATATTGAACAAGGCAGCAATATCATTGAATTTGTTTACTAAAACTAACTATAATAATATCAAGTCCTGGAGAAGAGGTCTGTGTCAGGAATACCAATTAGGGGGCTACATAGTCTAGGTACATAATGATAAGGGTCTGGTCCACTTATACCAAAATTAATCTAGACAACAGAGGAAGATCTGAGTTAATTGGTATATTGAAATAGCAGGACTTTCTGAGCAACTAGATATCAGGGGTAAGGAAACTTATGCTCCAAGGTAGGTTAAGGATGCTTACAGAGCCAAAAATGACTGGGTCCCAGGCCACCTCATACATTATTCTCCAGCTGCAATGGTCTTATTTTCCTCAAATTTATCAAGTTTATTGTCTCTTAATGTCTTTGCATTAGCTGTTTTCTCTGCTTTGGATGAATAGGTGATAAATTCAACAGTATTACATCAAGTTTTAACTGTTAAAGAAAACCCCAAGTACAAAAATGTAGAGTACAGTTGATTCTTGAACAACGTGGGTTTTGTTGTGTGTGTGTGTGTGTGTGTGTGTTCCTTATTGATTTTAGAGAGTGGGGAAGGGAGAAGGAGAGACAAATAGAAACACGGATGAAAGAGAGTATCGACTGGCTATCTCCTGCATGCCCACCACTGGGGATTGGGCCCACAACCTGGGTATGTGCCCTGACCAGGAATCAAACCAGCAACCTCTTGGTGCACGGGTCAACACTCAACCACTGAACCACACCAGCAGGGCGAACAACACGGGTTTGAATGAACAGGTACTTTATACATGAATTTTTTCAATAAATCCTATAACTGTCTTTTCTTTATGATTTTCTTAATACTTTCTTTTCTCTAGCTTAATTTTTGTTTAAATTATTTTTATTAATTTATTTTTATTATAGATGTTTCTCCTTTTTCCCCCATTGACACTCTCCTCCTGATCCACCCCAGCCCCGCCCTGTCCCCAGCATTGTTGTCTATGTCCATTGGTTACGCATACATGCATATAAGTTCTGTGGTTTATCTCTACCCTGTCCTCCCTCTTCTGTGTCTAGCTTACTTAATTTTAATAAAGTATATAATACATATACAAAATATGTGTTAATCGACTATTTATGTTATTGGTACGGCTCCTCCTGGTCAACAGTAGGCTATTAGTAGTTAAGTTTTTGGAAAGTCAAAAGTAATACTTGGATTTTGACTGCATGGGGTTCAAGGGTCAACTATAATTAGATATGTATAGAGCAGAAGCAACTATAGATCTAAGAATCAGCTGCATAAAACCAAAAGTCCTTGCATGAAGACAAAATAACAGAAAATTATTTGAAATAAGCATTCTTGAGATAAAAAAAAGAAAATAGACCTTTAAAGTTGAAAGATGGAGTTTCTGAAGGCTGGGATGTAAAATTCCTTTATTGAGAGTCTGTTTACTGCCAAGCATACATCTACTTTAATTATATAAAACCTCTCTGAAGTAAATCATTTTAAAAATAAGAAAACAGGTTAAGAGGAAATAAAGTAACCTGCCCAAGGTCACATATATAATGGCTAATTCTGACTATAAACCTCAACTGACACCAATGAAAGTATAGGTAAACAAATACAAATAATGAAACAAAATATCTTATTAACATAAAACTCAGGATAATGTTTACCTAAAAGGAGAAAGGAGGGGAATGGGATAGAGAAGGAGCAAAAGAGGGCCCATAGATATTGCTCACTGATTTCTTAGATAAGTAGTGGCCAGTTATTTTATTATTACAGTTGTCTCCCTCCTTATCCACAGTTTTACGTTCTGCGGTTACAGTTACATGTGGTCAACCATGATCAGAAAATATTAAATGGAAAACTTCAGAAACAATTAATGTTTTAAACTGCACACAGTCCTGAGTAGTAGGATAAGGGAGTTGTCCCTCTCCCACGATGGTGGGATGGAGCTGGTATATCCCTTTCAGTATATCCACAGTGTATTTGCTAGCCGTTAGATACTTAACTAGGTTATCAGAGGTACTGCAATGATTGAGTTCAAGTAACCTTTATTTTACTTAATAATGGCCCCACAGTACAAGACAATTCTGACAATTTGGATATGCCAAAGAGAGGCCTTAAAGTGCATCCTTTAAGTAAAAAGGTAAGTATGTACATACGAAAAAACGTAGTATATACAGGGTTTGGTACTACCCATGGTTTCAGGCATCCACTGGGAGTCTTGGAACATATCCTCTGTGGATAAGGGGAGGCTACTGTATTCTTTCAAACTGAACTATACATTTTTATAAGATTATATATGTCCTAATAATTTTTAAAACAGTAGGTTCTGGGGGAAAAAAAAGAAGTAAGCTAAAGGATTAGAAATGGTGGGGCAGGGCTACCACAATGCAGTGTGACTTCAGGAGCCGTCCAGTGTATAGCCGGTGGAGCTGCTGGTGGCTAACTTGGTGCAGGTGAAAACAGTGCAGGATATAGCTGGAAGTCAGTTCGAGATGATTAACAGTATTACCAATTACCTAAGCTACAATTTAGTATAGCTTAGTCTACCTGTACTAAGAAATCATAAAATTTTTATAAAGCCCACCAACACAAGTATTTGAATCTACAGCAAAACCCTTCCTCCTGGGAGCCAAATAGAGAAAAACACCCACTAACTTAGACTGATTCAGGGATGGAAATTGGCAAAATACAGAAATTGAGGAAATAAAAGACACTAGAGGTTAATAATGATTCATGATAGGGTCAAAGCTAAACAAGAGGAACATGAAGGCAGGAAGGGACTTGTCATACTGGAAATAAAAAGGAATTGCAGAATAAAAGAGCTGTAGACTGAAAAACAGGTACATTAGAACCGAACATGGGAAAAGCAAAAGTAGAAACCTGTGGTCGGAGAAATTTTAGACTCAAGATCAAAGGTAGAATAGTTTTAGATAGAGAGCAGTTCTAGA